GGGACACAATGAAAGCTGTCCTGTGAAATTTACAGCAGTGAATTCCTGTTTCAGAAAAACAGTGAGCCTAACATTGAACCTAATGCTGAGTCTCAAGCTTCTATAAAAAGAAGAGCAAGTCAAGGCCAAACCTCATACAAGGGAGGAAATTATAAAGATCAGAGCAGAAACTAACATAACTAAGACTAAGAAAACAATTCAAAGAATCAATGGACCAAAGAATTGGTTCTTTGAAACATGAAATAAAATTAACAAACCCGTAGCCAAATTTACCAAAAAAAACACAAGACTCAAATTTATGCAATTAGAAATGAAAAGGATGTAGTCACACCAATGCTGCAGAAATGCAGATCATCAATACCTCACCCAAGAACTCTAATAAGATAGACAACTCTAATACTCTAATAAGATAGACAACACAGAAGAAACTGACAGATTCCTAGATACATATGAATTACCAAAGCTGAATCAAGAAGATATAAAAACTCTAAATAAAACAATATCAAAGAAATTGAAGATGTAATTAAATGCCAACCAACAAAGAAAAGCCCAGGCTGTGACGTGGATTTACTGCTGAATCCTACAAGAAATTTACAGAACAGAAAAAAAGAAAAGAAAAGAAAGAAAAAAGAAAGATTGAAAAGACCTAATGCCACTACCCCTCAGACTCTAATGAAACTGAAAAGGAAACAATACTCCCAAATTGATTCCTAGAAGCAAGTATTATCCTGATAGCAAAACCAGAGAAGGCCCAACCAAGAAAGAGAACTACAGGCCAAAATTCCTAATGGACATAGATGCAAAAATCCTCAATAACACACTAGCATACAGAATGCAACAAATCATCAAGAAGATTATATACCAGGACAAAGTGATTCATCCCAGGGATGCAGGGATGGTTCAACATATTCAAATCAGTAAATGGAATACAACCATTGTTGACTTCCTATTATTTTGTTTTGAAGTCCTGTTTCACTTTCATGTTTGTTGTTGTTTTGTTTTGGTTTTGGTTTTAGTTTTTTGGTAGTGCTAGGGATTGAACTCAGGGCCTCATACATACCAGGCAATCACTCTACCACGGAGCCATATCCTAGCCCCTTCATTGTTTTGTTTTGATTGGTTTTATCGTGTTTCATTGTTTGGTTTTATTCTCTATTAAATTAAACTAAGAAAAAATAATGCAATATACCATATTAACAGAGTCAATGACAAAAAAACATATGAACTTCTCAATAGATGTACAAAAAGCATCTGACAAAGTCCAACACCTATTCATAACAAAAACTCAACAGAGGGGTTCTGGGGATTTAGCTCAGCGGCATAAAAATAAGAAATAAAAAATAAACACTCTGCAGAGAATTAGAATAGATGGTCTTCATTTTAATCTGATAAAAAAAAACCCCATCTATGACAAACTAACAACCAACATCACACACTAACTGGACAAAAACTGAAAGGTTTCCATCTAAAACCAGGAACAAGACAAAGATGTCCACTCTCCTCACTCATAATCAATAGAGTTCTAGAAACATTATCCAGGACAATTACACAAGGGAAAGAAATAAAAGGAATAAAGACAGGAAAGGAAGAAGTTAAGTTATTATTATGTGCGGGTGATATGATAGGAGAAGATCCAAAAAAAATCCACCAAAAAACTGGTAGATTTACTAAGGAAATTCAGTAGCACACCTGAATACAAAGTCAACACTTAAAAATCAATTGCCATCTTGTACACAAACAACAAACTCACTGAGAGAGAAATCAGGAAAATAACACCTTTCAAAATAGCATCCAAAAAATGAAATACTTAGGACTCAATCTAATAAAGAAAGTAAGAGACTTCTCCATTGAAAACTCTATAAAAGAGATTGAAGAGATTATCAGAAAATAGACAAATATCCCTTATTCCTGAGTACGAAGAACTAATATAGTGAAAATGGTCAGACTGCCAAAATCATTATACAGATTTAATGCAGTACTGATTAAAATTCCAATATCATATCTCACAGAAGTAGATTTTTAAAATTCCTACAATTCATTTGGAACCAAAAGAGACTTAGACTGGCAAAGGCAATTCTGAGGCTAAAAGCCAAGGCAGAGGGCATCACAATCTCTGACTTTGAGACTGTAGTACAAAGCTACTGTCATAAAAGCAGCATGGTACTGGCAAAAAAAAAAAAAATAGACCCAAGGATCTATGGAACAGATTAGAAGACACAGAAACAACTCCAGACATACTCAGCCACATTATCTTTGACAAAAGAGCCAATCACCTTCACTGGAAAAAAAGATAAGTCTCTTTAATAAATGTTCTGGAACAGCAGGCTTTCCACATGTCAAAAATTAAAACTAGACCCATATTTCACCCTGCACTAAAGTAAAACTGAAATGGGTCAAACACCTAAATATTAAAACAGAAGCACGAAACCTGCTGAAGACAGAAATGGTACAACTCTTGAAGACATTGGTGCAGGCAAAGACTTTTTTGCCAGCTCTTCCTTAGATAAAGGATTACTATTTAGCATATATAAAAACTCTAGCATATATAAAAAGTGCCTGCCTGGCAAGTGTGAGGTCGTGAGTTCGATCCCCAATACAAAAAAAAAATTTTTTAAATGAAAAGATGAAGTAGAAATGGCAAGTAAATACATTACAAATGTCCAACATTACTGATCATTTGAGAGACGCAAATTAAAACAATGCTGAGATTCCATCTCATCCCAGAAAAAATTTTACCAAGAAATCAACCAGTAACAAATATTTGCGGGTCTATGGAGAAAAACGAACCATTTTCCACTGTTGGTGGGAGTGCAGACTAATGCAGTCATGGTGGAAATCAATGTGGAGACTCCTCAAAAAGCTAGGACTAAAGGTTTCATTTGACTGAGCTATTCTCCTTCTTAATATCTTCCTAAAAGAATTACAATACTACAGTGACACATATACAGCCATGTTTATAGCAGTACAGTTTGCATTAGCTAAATCTTGGAAACAACCTAAATGCCTATCAACCAATGAATGGAAAAAGATGTCGGCTGTGCCTACAGTGGAGTACTACTCTGTCATACAGAAGGACAGGCTTGAGACATTTCTAGGTAAGACCCTGTTTTTAAGTAAAATATAACAGACACACATGTTGCAATACTGCATTATTTTTCTAGTGTGAGAAATGGAACGTGTAAATAAGGACCAAAATGTATGCTACTGGGAAATGGGAAGAAAATGTTCAAGTGGAGAGAGGAACAAAGGAGGGAGGAGAGAGAAAGAAGGGAGGACCAAGAGAAAAAAATGAATAGAAGGAAATAAATGGACACAAAACTTGTAAATGAGAGGAAGAGGAATTAAAAAGGGAGGAGAGGAAAAAGGGGAATAACCGGAAGAAGCAAATTGTATCACGTACAGGTACAAATTCCCTATGATGAATGCTACTATGCATATCTAAAATGTACCAATAAAATAATAAATAAATTTTTAAAAGTAAGAAACAGGCTCAGGTATAGTTCAGCAGTAGAACACTTGTTTCCCATGTGGAAGGCCCTAGGCTCATCCCCAGAACTGCAAAACTAACCAAAGGACCCTGAGCAGCTTATAGGCAGAACCCAGGGCTCGGAGGGGTCTGCCACAAGGGCGACATGGGGGAGGCTGTCCCACAGTGAGACTCTTGGAGGTACCGGAAACCACCGCTGCTCCTGAGTAAGGGCAGTGTCAGGGAGAAGCCATGCGCTAGGTCCGTGCTGACAGGGCCAAGAAGTAAACACAAAACAAGCAAGTCTCATCATCCTGTGTCCCAGCCTCCCCTGCATGTCACCCTGCCAGACACTAACAGAAAACCACTGCACAGAAGAGACCAGGATTACAGAAGAGGGATCACAGCAGAAGTTTAACCTAGGACACAACAGATCCATTCATCAGTAAAAAACAGTAAAAATGACAAACAATGACCAGTTTGTGAACCCTAAGTAAGTATCAACCACTGCTAAATACTTATACACATTACCTATTTAGTCCGTATATTGTAGGCCCACTTTAAAGACAGAAAATATGGGCTAGAAAAGATCATTCCCTTGATGAAGACTAAACACACAGTAAGTAACAAAAGTAGAATTCGATTCTAGGTCCAGTGATTCCAAAATCTGTAGTCCTAACCCATTAAAACCAAGCCAAAGGCCCATCCAAAGGATTGAGGGGTAAGTAAATCATGATAAATCCCTACATTTACCACTAAAAAGCAGATTTTATTCACATAGGAAAATATTTCCCAAAAGTGAAATGTTTAAAAAAGACAGTAAATACAAGTTTTTAATTAACATGCATACAAATGAACCACACTAAGTAAAGTCTGCTAAGACATCATCCAAAACAGTACCGTTTTTGTCCTTGGGTGCTTTTTGATTGTTGCTATTATCATACTCTCTGTATGTTTTTCCCATATTTTCTACTTTTTCTATATTAAATATATAACTGAATCTCATCAAGTATATTATCTCATTTAACTGGCCTTAAAACATAGCAGAAACTTAACAATTGCAAACCAATAACATATTCAGAGTACCATGCCAAAGAATTAAGAATATGCAAGAATAACTCAATTTTTCTTCTTTTTTTATGAGTCAGGGTCTCATTATATAGTTCAGGTTGTCCTCAAACTCATAACTCTCCTGCTTCTGCTTTCCAAGGCTGGGATTGCAGGCATGTGGTATCAAGCCCACCTAAGAACCAAGTGAGTATCTTTTATTAGGTTCCTAAAGATCTCTCATTTGTTTGGCTGCAGGTGGAGTTGCTGTTTTATGGAAGGAAAGGTAATGTCTTCCGAATGAACAAAATCATTCCAAGAGTAAGGAAACACAACTGCAAGTGCTTACTGAATAATATGATCTAATCATAACAGGTAAAGAGGCTTTGAGCTTCGCAGAGTGGTATGTCAGGTTTTAGCCCACATTCACAAGCATAATTAGCTAATCATCACATTTTTCAGTAACAATTTCAAAATAATCACTTACCAAATACTATTCCTTTAGCAAAGGGAGGAAACAGTTCGGAATGACGGAATAAGTGTTTGTGAATTTGCCATAGCTCTTTGTGCAATTTCTTAAAATCACTGTATCTCTTCCATACAATTATCTAAAAAGAGACAAAAGATTAACAGTATGCTTCAGAGCAGAGTCATTTAGGTTCTGATAAATGACAAGAAGTTATCTTCTCATTAAAGTGTTCAAAATGTCAAGCGGTGCCAACCTATGTTCAACCAATAGGGTTAACCATCTGAAATTCACTAATACTTGCTTTAAAACCAGAAAGCATGAATTTTTCCTCATTCCATTCTGTTTTGACTTTTAAATTTTATTTTAAGTAAGTACAGTTTTATGCTTCCTGGGAAAATATTCAGCCTGGTACAAAGAACTTCTATACTACATAAACTGTCAATCTAAAAGCCAACTGCCCTTGTCGTAGGAAATTAATTCAATTTCCAACATGTATTCTTTCTCAAAAATAGCATGCTTATAAAAACAAAATAACTAATTTGAGTAATTTTTAAACACAAAGGACATACTCAACATTGGCCTAAAATGATAAATTGAGTAATACTGAAGAAGCAATGGCTGTGTAGCAAGTCATTAACAGGAACCGTCCTATTTCACAGTTTTTTCTTAAATCTCTAAGAAATAAGATCTCTGGGGATAAGGAATGCTGATCACAATATCATTAAAACTAGTGTAGTGCCAAAAACCAAAACAATACTTTAGGTAACATGTGAAAGTGAGTTTGCCTTCATTAGTCTGAATTATTTAATCTTACTCAGATTCAATTGGACAAAAGAAAACTTTGCAAAGAGAAAGCATTTAACACACAGCTTTAATATCACTGAGCCAGCCCTTCAGTCCCCACAAAACAGGATGAAACTCAGGCCGGGACATAGCTCAGCAGCGCAGCACCTGCCTGCAAGCATGAGGCCATGAGTTCAATTCGGGGAACCCAAAAAACAAAAGTAGGATAAAACTGAGTTTTGAACTGCTACTTTAGAGGCTGGGGATTTTTAGCTCAGCCTGTCTGGCAAGTGCTAGGTTGTAAGTCTGATCCCCGGAACCAAAAAAAATAAAAACAAACTGCTACTTTCCTTGTGAAAAGCTTACTCATTTCCCTTCTAAAGAATTCACAGTGGTGAGCCAGCTGGACTGTGGACCGGGAGAACCAAGAAAGAAGCTAAGCCCCTGCCGGTGAGCCAGCCAGCACAGGGCTAGGAAAGGAACCACAGCAGCCCCTGCCCTCACTCCCCACTCCATCTCCCACCCCGGGGCAACCAGCTGACTCGGAGGCGCCTACGGTCTGGCTGACTCTGAGGTCTAAAGCCCATAGTCTCGGCAGCTATTTAGAGGACAATGACATGTAATATAGTAAGTACTGCACAGTGACTGTTGTAGTATCACTGTTCTGATTTGTTTTATTGTTGTTTATTCCCTTTAAAATTAAATAAAAATAAATTTTGAAAAAAGAATTCGCAGTGTTTTCACATACACAGTATGATGCTAACAATTAAATATGGCAGGGCAGCTAAGTGATTTAAGAGATTCTTGCCAAAACCCACCGTGTTACATGAAACTCCGTACCCACATTTGTCATGCCACTGAGAAGTCTACCTTGGTCTTCCTTGCTTTTTATTGAGTTATAACCCTGGGAGAATAGCAGATTTAAAGCAGCTGCCTCCTCCTGAGGCTTCCCTTGATGTTAACTAAACAACACAAAGCCAGCACTCGCGGCCCTCCTCAGGGCAGGGCCCCAGCCTGTCGCAGAGGCTGAAGGAATGACACGCACGGGGCCTCCCTGCACACCCAACAGGTCAGCAACACCAAGCAGGGCGCACAGTGCTGAGGCCGGCGACGCCCGAGACCCCCTCTGCGGAACACGCCGCTGAAGGGAAGGAAGGAGTCAGCAGAGAAAGAAAATACAGGGAGCCCGGGATGAAGCGTCGACAAAGGAAGGTGCCGGAGGTGTCACTAGACACTCGGCTCTCGCTCCTGGCCAACGCGGCCGGGGAAGAGAATTCAGCTGGTTCGGAGGCACTTGGCAGGCACCTCACTGGACACGGGGCTGAGGAGTGGACAGCAGGGCACAGGCGAGGAGAGGAGGAGTGGAAATGGCCAGACAGAAATGCTGACACCAGAGACCAGGCAGGAGGAGCAGGAGATTACTAGGCGCACAGTGCCTGGCCACGCTACAGGCGACCACTGAGAAAAGGACACTCTCCTTGAGAATGAGGGGGCGAGACACGGCTGACAGCGAAGCAGCAGCCTGGTGCCCCGCAGAAGGGAAGAGCCGAATGCCGGCCGGCCGGCCAGCGCTGGGGAGCCGACGGGAGGCCCGGAGAGGGACGACAGCCATCACATGTTTGGCTTCTCAGCAGTTTCTAATTTTGATGCATGAACATAAGCCTGCCATGAGAAAAGAAGTATTTTACATACTTTAAAATACATCGAACTGCAGTAGCACTGCACTGTTCGGGGAAGGGAGGAACCGGGCAACAAATGAAAGTGATCTTACACAAGGAGAACAGCCCAGAACTGGGGTCACACAGGTGAAGGCCATCAGGACGTGCACAGGAGAGCATTCCTGAGACTTTCAGAGCGTGGAAACAAGTTTGCTGATAAAGTTTATATTCTGGTTAAGATCATTTTCAAATAGAGGATGACTCGAGAGGCAAAATTTAGCAATTTAACCACGACAATGATTAAAATGCCAGAGTACGATCAGTCAGAGCAAGAACCGAACCGCAGACACACGGGCCTGCGTGTCTTGGCCGGGCCTTTACTTACTCCCCACACACCCTTCATCCAGCCCAGGCTGCAGCCCTGACACGCCTGGAGCTCTGCCCCCATTATCAAATCCGCACTCCTCCGAAACCTTCAGGCGGAAAGCTGAGGAAAAGTACAATGCCAGTCCATCAGCAAGCACTGATGCTTATATGTGGACTACACAAAGTTCCAAAGACAGACGGAAAAACTGTTCGCAAAATGCCTGATATTTTCCTATTAGGAAAAAAAAAAAAAAAAAACATGTACTATCTATTACTTTATTGAACCAAACCTGCATAGACTTCTTATTCATTAAAGTCTCTCTGAGGGGGCTGGGGATTTAGCTCAGTGGCATAAGCACCTGCCTTGCAAGCAGGCAGTCATCAGTTCAATCCCATGTACTGAAAAAAAAAAGAAAAAGACAAAAAAAAAAAAAAAATGCAAATAAAGTCTCTCTGAGCCAGGCGTGGTGGCACATGGCCATAATCCTAGCACTCGGGAGGCTAAGGCAAGAGGATCGCTCATTGCAAATTCAGAAACAGCCGGGCCAGGGCTGTGGATTTAGTTCAATAGCACAGCAGTGACAAGCCTGAGGTCCTGAGTTCAATTCCCAGTTACCCACCCCACCCCACCCCTGCCAAAAAAAGACCAGCCTGGGCTACAAAGTGAGCTAACGGCCAGCATGAACCGCACAGTAAGACCCTATCTCAAAAACACATAAAATAAGTAAAGTCACTCTGAAGAAAATTTATCAAGGAAATGTTAATTTAATGATAACCATAGATAGACTACAAACAATAAGACTTTAATTTCTCATTAGAAATATTCTCTTAAATATTTTCACATACAATAACTACCTCCTTTTCAGATTATAAATAATGACATCAAAAATTTTTAGATCCTATCCTCATAGAGCATTTAAAACTTGCTGGACCATCTTTTCTAAAACATGCCACTACCATCCTACTTGCTTTTTATTGTTTCCCCTCTTTTCAAAACCCCCTTCACTCCTTTAATACATTTCTCTAAGTGTGCACTTATTTTCAGAAACCTATTTATGAAAAGACAAAATTTGGAGATTTCTGGTATGATACATACATAGAAAGCTCAGCTTGGGTCTTTTCCATCCCCAGTTTCACCAGTGAGATATGCTACCTCTCCCAAAGTCCGGCGGTCACCATGAGGAAGCTGGGGGAGGATGGAACACAGCTCTTCCTGCCATCCACAAGCGGCCCATGCTCCAGACCAGCGAGGGCAAATCTAAAGATGAGTGCCCGAACGCAACCCGAAACTCACGTACTCACCACAAAGTGAAAACACTGCAATTAAACCTGAACACTGAGGCTTTCGTTTAGGAAAAAACAACTCATACATTAACATCTTTTGTCTTAAAAACAAGTAACACACGAGCCATAGTTCTGCCACCACTGCTCCAGACCATCAAGGGAATGAAGCCAGCTGTACCGCTGCACAGTTACTCGTGTTTTTTTTAATAAAAATTTAGAGATTTTAAAATCTTTTTATGGAGAAGGCTAACCTGGGTAATTTTAATTTATTTACTCCATATTGATACTTTTTAGCATTCTTAAAAAAAAAAAAACATTGGTATCTGATTCGTGCCAAGATGTAATAAAACAAAAAGACCACAATTTCTCCAGTTTTAGAAAGAATACCAAATTATTGGTCCTATATTTAGTTAGAAGGACAGTACATCTACTACTGCTCAATGGTTCTTACAAAGCTTAACTATATTCTAAAGCAGTAAGTAAACTAGATAATGGAGAGCAAAAAGGAAAGGAAAGGAAATGGAAATAAAGTCTAAGTAGCCAATTCCCTTCCTAAGTGAAAATTCCACTGTTTAAATGGGATAAGTGAGAAATTTAAAAAGTATAGATATAGGTAATTTTAAAATTATTCCATAATTTAGGAAGCCAACTGGACAGGAGACCTTTTAAAACTTTTACACTATTTCTAACAAAGGACCATGCAATCATCTACCTAAAGGACACTTACAAGAGTTTTGTGATGAATGGTTCCCAACTGTTGTTATTATAAAAGAGCTTTCCCCAAGAAAGGATTAAGGAAATGGTAGAGAGCATGTTCATGGATGGGCTGTTTCAGGATTCCCCCTGGAAAAGCGGAACATCAAGCTACAAACCACAGCACAGCAATCAGACAGTGCATGCAAAGGCAACAGAATCCATTTTCAATTCTAACAGAAATTCTCAAAAGCAGAATACCCTGGTATTGACTAATTCAACAAAATTAACAGAAATCTAAAGAATAGTTCAAAATAATCAATTGATACTTAAGCAAAAGTTACTTTCATTAAACAATGCAAATAACACAGACATATAGAACCTTTTCTTCCAAAATAACAATATTCTCCCTATTGTGGGGGAAAGGAAGAGATCTTAAAACTCATGAGGAAAGTAATATGAAATCTTCTTTAAATGTGTCTCTTACTAAATCTTTTAATCACAAGACAAAAACAAATATCAGATCAGACACAATACCTTAAGGAATTATAAGGTAAAACATTTAAATATTTTCTAAACCAGAGGATCACACACTCAAATCAACTGGGACCAAATAATCAACTCAAATGCATGAATGGAGCCAGGTATGTAAAGGAGAGTGGGGTCTGGCTTAGCAGAGAAAAGCTCATACCCTCAGGGACACTCAAATCAATTGGGGAAGAATGGTAACAGGTTGCAGAATCAGCACTGAAAGTAACTGCTCAGCAAGCAATAAATCCCCAGTGTGTGTGTCCTTCTGGTCTTAGTGAGGATGAGCAGGGGTCAAATGAAAGTAAATCAAGAAACATTAAAGGAAGTCAGGACTCCTAAAACTGTGTGACAAGCACAAAGTAATTACAAATAGAGAATGCCACAGTTTTAAGCAACAACGTAACAGGCTGGCACCACCACTTCAAAGAGATGGAAAGGAAAAACTGCAAAGAGTATGCAAAAAGAATTACTTGAAAAAGTTAAAAAAGAAAAACCTACATCTAAAACAGATTCTCAAGATGTCAATATATCAATTCCAACATATAACTGGAAGTAGGTAGAGACCCATAATTTACCACTATAATCTTTAAAATTAATAGTAGTTACCAAATACTTCTACTGTATTAAACAAGCATCATGAACTTGAAATAAAGGTCCTCAATTAATAGAAACTCTTAACAGTATTACTTACCTGAACAATTATCAGAATTAAAAAGCACTATAATTCATCAAATTCTTATTTATATAATTTAATACCTACTTAGTAGGTCTGAAATAGGGGATTTAACTACTATTTTAGGAAGCTGAAGACAATCTTTATAAAAAGACTGACAAATAATTTAGGCAGTTTCCTCAATAAAGTATTTAAATTTTTGTCAAAAACAGAAAGTGAAATTTTCATATAGTTAAACATGTTACCTCCTGGACATCCTCTGGGTTTCTCCGTGAAACAACCTACAACAAAACACACACAGAAACATCTAATCATTATCAAAATTTAATATTTGATAAATACTTCATATTTGTATAGTTATTCAACATAAAAATTTTAATTTGCTTAAAAAATATTTATCACTAAAAAATTCAGTCATACGATAGCTTCACTACCTGAAATACTAAATTTAAAGAAAAAAAACAGGTAAAATTAAGTACACATGCATTATATTCATAAGAGAATCTCCCCGCCTTCATTCTAATTGTAATTCTAACAGGCTACCTACCCTCCTTCCTGGCTTAAGTATAAATCAGAAGCACAAAGAGGGGCTGGGGATTTAGCTCAGCGGCATAAACGCCTGCCTTGCAAGCAGGCAGTCGTGGGTTCGAACCCCGGTACTGATAAAAAGGAAAAAGACAAAAAAAAAAAAAAAGAACAGCTGCATTTAGGCAAAATATACAAGAGATCTCAATATATTATTTCTGATAACTGTATGTGAATCTGCAATTAGGTCTATAAAAATCTCAATTTAAGAAAAGGTAGCCACAATGCTCAACACACCAATATCCGTGACAGGTGATTGCTGGCCATCTAATAATGCAGAAATAAAATAAATAACAAAAAAATTAAATACAAACATTCAGAAACAAACAATTCTAGCAATACTCTTGAGCAAAGGCTGGGGGTATAGCTCAGTAGTCGAGTATGTGCTTACCACACACAAGTTCCCAGTTCAACACCCAGCACCAAAAATATGTGTGTGTGTGTGTGTGTGTGTGTGTGTGCATCCATCTAGAAGAGATGATTCTTTCAAACTTTCAAAAGTACAAAGGCCAAAAAGTCCAACATCACATGGAAAGACTGATTAAAAGACTTCAGGAAAGAAAAAAATAACATTATAAAGTGGGAAAACATCATATTAGATTAGTATATGAGGGGACTGGAGGTTTAGCTCAGTGGCATAAGCACCTGCCTTGCAAGCAGGCGGTCGTGAGTTCGATCCCGGGTACCGATAAAAATGAAAAAGACAAAAAAAAAAATTAGTATATGATACAAATCTATATTATATAATATCATCTATATAAGTGTAAAACTAATGAACCTGAGGCTACAATGCTGTATCCTGCTAACCTAGGCCAACAGATAAACCCATTAACATGACTGCCTATGTGTATATGCCCTATGTCCAAGTTGTCTATGACAGCCAAGAACAATATACAATACTACCACTGGGGCAAGAGCAAGTCTATGTTATTCTTGAAGTCCAAAATGATGACAAAATATAACCGATTTAAATTCAGGCAATCTTTGGTTCAAATTATGTTCCTGAAGTTAAGGCTTGATCCCATCTATAAAATGGGACTATACCACCTTCCTCACCTGGCTGTCCTGAACACCAATATAGTAACATAGAGAACTGTGTGAGAGTTTAACTCACCTAACAATTTCCTGTCATTTTGTTCTCCAATTTTCTTTTTCTTTTTGCTCTTTTTCCTTTTTACCAGTACCGGGGATCGAACTCACGACTGCCTGCTTGCAAGGCAGACGCTTATGCCACTGAGCTAAATCCCCAGTCCCCTTGTTCTCCAATTTCCAGGGTATACAAATTTGGTACACTCTCTTAGCAATTTTCATTAATTTAGAACAGGGCAATCCAGCAGAACTTTCTGGAATGATGCAAAGAAATGATCCAATCTGGACCATTCAGCACAGCAACCATTGCCGCGTGTGTGTGGCTACTGAGCCCGTGACACAGCTACCCAGCTAAGGGACTGAATGGTAAATGGAGACCTTTTGGCTCAGTACCTCCATGTGGCTATTGACTACCACGTTAGACAACATAGATATAGAGTAAGAGCTGTGCATTATTCAGGTATTTCATTTTAACTGTGACTTTCAAATACCAGCGTGCAGGACTAAGGATGTAGCTCAACGGCACAAGCACCTGCCTTGCAAGCAGGCAGTTGTGAGTTCGATCCCCGGTACCGATAAAATTTAAAAAAAAATTTTTAAAAAGACAAATACCAGCACGCTCTTCGCACACGTGCACCTCTTCACATAACTAAACGGACAATATTTTAGTTAATTAGTATGTCACACAATTAGATGACTTAGTTTTCCCTCATATAAATTTTTTATACGTTTTCAAAATGTACTAATCAGAAGAGAAGTCACGGACAATCAATCCTCCAACAATCAACCAAAAGTAATCAACACAAGATCATTCACAGTAAGGCTTAGGCAGATGTATCTGACATTTCCTAATTTATATTAGATAACTTGCATTTAAAAATGTACTAAAGTATCTTCCTATTTTAAATACTCTTCCTTAACATATGCAGGATAACATATGCACATATCTTTTTGTGACAGAAAAATATTTCTTTGGTATCCATACTAGAAGGATCACATTGTGAATTTTCTTCATATACACCACACTTGGAAATCAACCATATATGTTCTACACATGCAAAATTCATTCATCATCCCCTACCAATATACACAAATGGTACCAAATTATCACAATATCCTCAACTGGCTTATCAAAAATAGCCAATCTGCTGGCGACATCCCAGCCACCTTCTGAATACCTCTGATCTGCGCAGTTACATGGAGACCCCTGGCTCATGGAACTCACGGTCCACTGTACACAATGACCCGGGGAGTAGGGTGAGTTTCCCAAAGTTATTTTCCAATCTCTTAAGCAGTAGCTTAAAAAGCATTTTATCTAGACTCTGACCGTGACATCAACTCTTCACTGTTGAGTGCTGTGGGACTTTTCAAGTTTTCCTAATAAAAGTAACTGATCATTATTTCCAAAAAAATACAGAAAGTCAAAGCTGTAACATTCTAAAACTACTTAGATGAAGCTCTGCACTCTAATTTTAGGTACAGTAGAATTACTACTCTTAGCTCTCCAAATATATCCCAGATGAAAAGGGAAATATACTTAGAATATTTTATCAAAAGCTATGTGTTAGGTATTAATGGTCTCTTTTCCCAGCAAAACAAACAACGCCCAGAGGAAGTCACGGCTGGAAAGTTGCACTTTAAGGATTCTCCTCTTCCCTCTGGGAGCTCCTGCTTCTCTCTTTCACATTTTTCTTTCTCCTTCTTTCCCTCACCGCTCTGTGAGCACCCCAGCTGTCGACTGCATTTTTAGCCCCTGTTTTATCATACCGTAATCTGTACCTGTGCTACCTAACTCTATGCAAAACACCATGCGGGAAGGGTAACTGTGTGCATTCACATTCGCAAAGCTTTGGCGTGAATGGCTCATTTTATTCCTCAACAACCTGAGTTGGGTAGGAACAGTTACTGTGAGAAGACCTTTTACAGCCAGGGAAAAAAGGTAATAAAGAGACCTGTCTTACGTTATCTGTCTTCGGATTTAGGATTTGAACCTCAATTTTCTGACTCCTGGTCTAGTGTTCTCTCCTCTGTACAATACAGTCTATTTATCTTGGATATTTTCAATAATAAATAAGGTTACTTCCACAAAACACTACCACCATTAGATTTCACTTATTCTTTCATTTCTGCCATGTGTATAAAAACATAATCACTTTCCCTATGCCATACATACAAAAATACAAGACTCCCCCAAACACACTACCACGTTCTACCAGCTGGAACCTCACTGTAAGGGATTCAGTACGCCACCACATGTAATCTCTCAGAAACTCTCTCAGCATATAGTCTCTACAATGGAAACCAAAAACAGAAAGTGTCTACTAGTAATGAGTGCCTATTAGTAACAACTCTTTCTATCTGTAATTCTCTCGGAGTCACTGAAAACTTTACGAAAAATAACAATCAGAAATCCAAGGGAAGAATACAACCTTACTGAAAATGATTATTTTGAACCCTCAAATTAAATCTGTGTAACTTTTAAAATATTAGTAATTACCAAAATAAGTAACAATTCTGTAACAAAAATGTTGTACGTTTACTAGCTTGTGAGTACTTCATAATTTATCTTTGGATAAGCTTCAATAATCATAAAGTTCACCCAACAAATTCCATAAAAGCTGGAATTTAAAGCGGTATTTCCTTTAAACTTCATACATTTCCACTGCATGCATTAATCCCCCCTGGCTCAGTAAACCACTGTACTTTTCTGAAACAGCCTCATGGTATCTAGAATTTCACCACAAAGTCACCTTGAAAAGCATCTTCCTAGGTACAGCTTCACTACCCATGTCTCGTAAACTATCAGCATTTGTTAAAATCCATGCTCTCAAGTGAGGGGCTTGATAATCCATTTTGGTTTACCTTTATCTAAGAAAGAAACATTTATACAGCACACTTCCTCAAAGACTTTAACGCATAAATACGCCTAGCAAATCTCTACAAGGAAGACATACTGTCTGTGCGGTATTTCTCAGAGTCATCTAACCATTCGATACCATCATCACTGCTTATTAAATGAAATTTCTATTAAAATTTAGAACCCAGTTGGAAATGCGACAGTTTTTTTGCAGCCCATCTGTCTTTGTTCACATCATTAAGTTCTGAATTTAACAAAACAAGTGAAGACTCAAAATGAGGGTGCCTATCTCTTACTGTACGAAGGAAATTTAAACAATATTGCACAGCTCTCCAGAGTGCTAAAATGAGATGACCAAGCCCATAAACATAGTCAGGCAGTAACCGTGGCAGGACTGGATCTCACAATTCCGTGATCCAGAGCGGTCTTTTTAAGACACAGCCGCATCAGCCCTTCTAGAGACTAAAATGTTAGTATCCAGGTAACCTTCCTAATGCCTCTAGGTGTATCTATTTTGTCTTTTACATACAAATACACTAATCAAACAGGAGAACCTGGAGAAGTACCTTGGCTGGGCCGGAAGAACAATGTGCACAGCAGCGGGTTTGAACAGCGGCTCCCCGAGGGCACCACCCGTGAGCCATTTGGAGGAAGCTTCGTTTGCTTTGTTTTTGCCAGTTCAGTACTAACCCAAACGCACAGCAACCTTGAAGTGAGTCCAAGTCAATCCTCTTGCCTATTCCGGTGGTG